ATTCTGTACCAGGGCCAAAAATATGATGCTGGGGGAGGGCTGGAGTCATAAAGTAGATACTTCAGAGTTCAGATAATACTTATAATTTACGAATTACCGAGAGGAACAAGATCAAAAATCAGCGACCAATATTGGAAACATTTCTGAATCGATAGTCTCCATTAAACTTACTCTATCTATTCACCCACCTTAATAATTCCACAGCTCTATAAACAGTCAACAATCAATAAATTGAGGTTGACTCACCAGATTTCAATCTATAMTTTCTGTATCATAATGGCCATTGGATGCCATAGACATCCATGATCCGTGTGTAAGATATGTTAATATTCATGGTCCATTCCTACAATTGATAAGATTTATCACAGTCCACAGATAAGTATTGATGAGAAAAAATAGAAAAATTCCAAATGGCTAAAATTAAAAATAGACAGGTTTGTCAGCAAGATAACACGGCGCATATATTGTGACATATTGTATATCTACATTCTACATCCTGCTGTGACGTAATGTGGAATAAATCGTTGTATAAAAAATGAATTCATTGCATAAAATATAATACAACGTAATCTTAATAATGGCTTATTTGAAAACGGCGGGAACGTGACGTGATCTGGAGTAAACTGCGTATTCATAGAGCATTTTGATTATCTTGCTGACATGCCCGTCTATTTAGCCATGAAAATACGCAGATTGTAACAGTAGCTCAGTAGCATAGACATAACACATTAACACATRAGACTTAAAATTATATTTTGTGCCTATGGAGTATGGATTGTAGTCTTGATAGTTRGCAATAATAAACATTATAAACAACAGAGTATGAATCGTTTAAGTCAAGATTTGGATCAAGTCAGCGCACACGCCACGTCTTGCTTGCTAACCCATATGATCATGTTGTTGTTAAATATTATTATTACTGCGTGCTACATTACGTCACGTCACGTTCATACGATTATCGAAAAGTTCAGAATTTCCGTCTTCTGATTATACCTCCATACATCCCGTTTATATCATGTAGATACTTATTAAATTGATAAAATGATAACTAATTTGAATGCGTCAGTCGTTTAGTATTTTACTATTTTAGTCTTCAGAACTTTACATTTACCACAATTTTTACTAGAACCAGTAGAACCTAATTCTTTTATCTTTATCCATTATACTCATAAGTTATAAATTAAGAAGTTCAATGAATTTGATCACATTTTTTTTTAACTATGAATTATTTAAATTTTAAACTATTTAACTATATATTTGAAAGTTTTGTTTTTCAATTACTTATATTTGTCTAATATAGCTGTTCCATATTTTTATTACTGAAATCCATCTWAAAGTAAAATTTATAATGATGAGTAACTTAAGCTTAAACAAAATAACCTATATTTATGAATTACCATACGCAGAACGTAAGGAATTCTGCAATATAATTGACATGAACGACAAATGGGAAGAACTAGGTAACTAACCATTAAATTATATTAGATAATACAGGTTTGTATATTTTGATAGTTTCTTTATTTTTGTTTTTAGGTGGAAATTATATGAAAATTGACTGTGCAACATTATTTAAAATTAGTAAAGCTCCTATGCGAAATCATTCTTGTACTGATGAACTCTTAACATTATGGGGAGAACAAAATCATACAATATTAGAATTATTTACTATCTTATATAAAATGCAGCATTATCGAGCAATGATTATACTTAAACCATTTGGTATGAATTAAATAATTATAGTTTAACACTTTTAATATGATGACCATTTGGTTTTTGTTTTAGTTGATCAGAAGTATCATAAATTAATATATCACGGTGATAAAAGTTTCAGTAACTTAGTAAAGACAGAAACTGGCAACATTTTAAATGTAATAATTGTAATCATATTATTATAATTAATTATAGATAAATTAAATTTTTACTTATTCTTACATTTTATTTTTTAGAGTGAAGTTGGCAATCTTATAAAATTCAATTCTGATAGCAATCAAAAAAGAGTTCATAATCTAGAGCATTTAAATACAGTAGGCAAAATAAATGAGCAAATTTATTCTGATCCATCTGTTATGTTTTCCTCTGCTGAAGCATGTACCCCTTTGATAACATACAATGAACTGGAACAAGCTACTAATTATTGGAATAAAGAAAACATTTTGGGAAAAGGAGGTTTTGGAGTAGTTTTTAAAGGTATATGGAAAAACACAGCTGTTGCTATTAAACGTCTCGAATCTCAGGTTATTATTTATTTCATTATTGGTACAATTAAACATATATTTTAAGGTCGAACATTTTAGGAATAACATTATTTATATTTTTAGAAAGGAGCTGAGCAACAGTTTAATATTTTAGAAGCTCAAAGACAACAATCTTTAAGAGAACTGAAGTATTTAAATTCGTGCAGACATGATAATATTTTATCCCTATATGGATTTAGTATTGGTGGAGAAAAACCATGTTTAGTGTATCAGTATATGATCAATGGTTCTCTTGAAGATCGATTACAATGTCGAGTAAGTTTTATAAATATTAATAGTAGAATAATAATTTAGAACTCTATGTAAAGTGCACACTTATAAATTAAAACCTGTTATACCTGTGTATTTTTAACTATACTATAATACCTCCTTAATTTTGTTATGAAATTTAAGGACCCACTGGCATGTTTGGTGATGCAAACTAATTTTTTTCAAATGTWACAAAAATAATCAGCAAACATCATAATCACAAGCACAACTATAACAATTTCCTTGGGATACCAAAATTGTATCAGCAGCTAAACCCTGATAATTATTGATATTCTAAAATATGGTAAAAAAACTGGTGAGGGGGGCAAAGTCACTCCAAACAATCCATAATTGTGCTTATGATSATAATATTTGCCAATATGCTATATTCATATTAAAATTTTTTTAATATAGATTCAAATACACAAGAATAAGTTACTAATTTATTATCATATAATAAAAAACTAATAATAATTATAAAAATAGAACACAAATTCAATGCAGTTCAAAAGAAAAAATTATTATTTTGATTTATCTATCATAAATCATATTTTCCAAAAGTAATTTAATATTATCAGGGCCGGTGTTAAGAATGGGGAGCAAAGTGGGTCATTTGTGCCGAGCCTCGCGCTTAAAATTTACATTGAAAAATATTTTATATGGAAATCGTATAGTAGACTATGGTTATTGATTGAATAAGTTTTGCCCAAGACCTCGCAAAAGATAKAACCGGCCCTGAATATTATAATATAAATAAACATAATAGTATGTATGAAGATAACCAATGAAAATATGCATTTATATTAAATCAAAAATCTCTACTCATAACTAAAAAACTGCTAATTCATATATTAGTATAGCTAGTTCAATATTTGACTTTTAAACATTGAATCCAACAAAAAATGTCCTACTTTAGAATATGGAATAAAAACTATTTTCTAATTCTAGATGAATTATCCTGTATAGTGTATCCTCTATATAAATACTTTAAGGTGGTAAATGTTTCTTTTTTCCTGTCTATGAAGGATAAGTATGCAAGATTAATTCTGATATTTTACTAACTAATAACTACTAAGCATGTGAAAGCATAGTGAAAATTATTATAAATTATAAAAATATAATAATTCAATATAGTTAATTATTATTTATTACTTTATTAGTATATTGTTTTAGCAAGGAACTAAACCTTTGACATGGTACATTCGTTTCAAAATTGCTACTGGATCAGCTAGAGGATTGCAATTTTTACATGGAATGGATAAACCTTTAATCCATGGAGATATCAAAAGGTGTTTTTAAATCTTAATATAGATGGTATTTATTGGATACAAAACAGGTCACATATTTAATCCAATACACAATACAAATAACTAAACATTTGAAAAATGTATAAACACAGTTTTATTTATTTATTTTTAGGTTAAATTTTAACAAAATTACATCTAAAAACCAAAACTAATTAGCTTTTTTTTGTGATTCAAAAATATTATTTGTGGGCACTTGAAACTGTTAAATTATATTATTATATTTTATACAAAAATGAATTTAACCAACTATAGTAGATACTAATGTCCTATAGTAAAATAAATTACTTATATTGCAATAATATCATAAAATATACCTACTTAATATTATTTTAGGCTGATTTTGTATTCATATACAATGATTTTATGTCATTAATTTCAAATTTAAATTTAACACATCCATTACAAGGACTTTCTAGAYATCTAATATACAGCAAACAGTTACCCACCTACCTACTTTTTATTTCATCACCACCTGTATTACAAATGCTATAATTAATTTTTGGATTAAACWATTTCAAATTTTTATAACATCAACCTTTAATTTGATTATTTTCATTAAAAATTATGAAACTGTGAATACTGTATCTGAATAATTAATTAAGTTAATTCAAAATAGATTTCTTGGTTAAGTGTATAAGTTAAGAAATAACAAATTCTCAACTTATGTTAATACCTCCTATTATTTTTTATTCTAAAATTCACATTTTTTCAAACATCTGATATCAAACTGATGCAATCATTTAAGTAGTTGTACACCACTTAGTCAAAATTGTTAATTCTAACTCTGCTATTATTAGTGCAAACATTCTTTTGGATCCATATTTTGAACCTCGTATTGGTGATTTTGGGTTGGCTCGTGAAGGACCTCTTCAAGAATATACTCATGTAAAAGTTAGTCATGTTCATGGAACAAGGCCTTATCTACCAGACGAATTTTTAAGAGGCAAAAAGTTCTCTACTAAAGTCGATACTTATAGTTTTGGCGTGGTAAGTATCTTAAATAATTATACATATTATTTATTTGTATGTAATTTAATATATTTTTTCAATATTTTTTTTTTAACGTTTTATAAAACATGTTTTATKTAATGATTGGTGATTGTTTAAATTATTCTAAATTGGTTAAAATACTATTTCCCTATAATTTATTTTAGTTATTAGTTTATTAAGTGATGAATAATCTATAATCATATATGATAATGGCAAGCACCTAAGATTTTAGGTATTTGTATTTGCCACATTTAAACAATATTGGTGCAATATATTGTATACCTAATAATTATTAGGGCTGGAATGTGATGCACTTTACATTCTTTTTTTTTTTTGGTACTTCTTAGAAGATGCTTCCTTAGCTGAAAATTTGTTTCAATAATATAAGAATATTGAGAATCTAAATAACTAATTTTTATTTTGAATTTTCTGGCTCTTTTCATTATTATACGTTTTAAATCATTTTTATGATATTGTACATTATTTTTGTTTATTTTATCATATATATATATATCATTTTATTTTTAAAAATTTATTACTTATACAAATTGAAAATAATTATTAATTACTAGGGCAGAAGACGTCTTGTAGCTCTAAAAAAGCTATAGATATGCAAACACTTATGCACTTAAAAAATCCCATAATATACATTTAAGATATTATATGCATTTAAATTTTTTTTATTTAGAGTTATTTAAATTATTTTCCAATCTTCTTTTCATTAAATTGGTTTTTATACACTAACCTCCTTGTTATACAATACATTTTATACAGGGTGATTCTTTTATAAAGAACACTTATTATTTCAAAAACTATTGACTTTTTTCAAAATTGTAGATCCATCTTKTGCCAGAACTATAATTTTTTTAAATAATTTTACCCTTATATTTATCTGGTAAACCATTATCAACTTTTGATTTTCAAATGACAACCTATATTTAACATTTAATAAACTAAAAGGCTATTTTTTCAATAAGTTTTCGGGTTTAAATTTTCATTTTTCGTTAAACCATTTACAAAATATAGCCTCCCAAAGTTGKGTGGTGTTTGTGTGTTATAGGTGTATGTTAGGTGGTATTTACACACAAACACCATAATATGAGTGTTGTTTGATAAAATAATATCTCTGTATGATACAAAGATTTTTAGAATTAGATATTTTTTCACCTAAACATGCTCTCAATAAGGCATGTTAATTGGTATTCAAATTAATTTCATATAATTATATCTTATGATTTATTATGATTTATTAATTGGTTTTTGGTTTATCATTTTAATTATGAGATTTAATTTAGGTGCTTTTTGAAATCGCTACTGGTCAAAGAGCATATGACAGTTTAAGAAATCATAAATTTTTAGTGAGTATCTATTAAAATAAATAAACTGAAAATAAGAATTATTATTATTACATTGATTGATATTTTATTAATGCCAGTTATCATTATGAGTTAACTTAAATTTTATAGAAAGACCATGTTGAAAATAATGATGGTCTAATTTCTGATATGGCAGATGTGAAGGCAGGACCAGACGAAAATAATGTATTCGCTTCTCTTATGACTATTGGTAAAAATTGTGTTAGTTATAAGGCAAAAGATCGCCCAGAAATGGAACAAGTGTTAAGGAAATTAGATTGTGTCATGTTCCAAGAAAAACATCAATGTAAGTATATCATTATATACAAATATTATAAAAATAAATCATTGTATAAATAATATATTAATTTAAATTTGAAGCTACTATCAGACACAGTTGTTTACCTACATTCCAATACGAGGTGCAAATGAGAAAACATTCAACTCCATCTGGATCTTACCATCCTCAGCCATGGCTATTTGTAATTTGTTACTATCTAGCACACAATAACTTTTTGCATGTCATAAAATTAACATGGCTGATGGGTTACTAAACATGGTTGTTACCTAAGAAATATTAATGAAGTATATAACACCATAATCTAAGACAAAAATATGGATAAATCATTAATATAAGTAAAAATAAAATGAAATAACATACTTCTTTTCTTTAAAGTTCCATTAAATTCAACTTATTTCAAATTTCTGTTTAAAAAAAAATACAAAAACCTAAAATAAAAAAATTATYATAGGGGGTTGTCTTGATGAGGTATGTTATTGTATTTTTGAATTAAAATTGATTAAAAGCYGCAAACTATTTGATAATTTTTCAAAAGCAAACTTGCTTAAATTTCTTTAAACATTTTTAGTTTTAAGAGTTATAGGAACTATTCAGAAAATAAATTAGTTACCATCCAAACTTAATATTTAACAGAAAACTAGCTCTGATAAAAACAGTTAAATAATTCTAATTTCATTGAAATTTTACCTTATATTATTATAAAAATATTCTTGTAACTCTCCAAGTTTCAAATTATTTACAAACTACCAAGGTTTTATTTTCTACCTGACACCATCTTCAATAATAAATACTGAAGCATACTACTAGTCTGCTGTAGGTTTAGTTAGAATTGAATGTAGGTACATTATCATTTTGTACAGTTGTGTATCCAGAAGGGGGTTAGGGTGTCCCCCAAAAAAAAAAAAAAATTTTCAATGTTTAATCTATGATAATTGATCATAAGTCATAATAAAAACACATAAAATTCAAAACAATTTAATTTTTTTCTAACCCTTCTCCCCTTTAAAAAAAATAATCTAGATACACCACTGATTTAGTAGGTCACTCTTATTATGAATGTATAAATTTAAATTAATCAATCATTCAATCATTGCATACAATACATAAGTATAAATTTGATTATAAAACTATGGGGCTAGAAATATCAATTAACACATATTTACACAATTTATTATACTTATGAGGTTATGTTAGGAAATACTTTGGGAGTTAAGCCCTCTCCCAAACCCTCCCCCCAATCTACACATGCATATCCTTCATTTATTACAGTGGTCTCAAAAAATGCTACTCTCRAATCCCTCTGATGTGGCCTGCACTAGTTCAACATTTATCAAAATTCATTATTATTATTATTGAACCATTACTTTTTTTACTATCACAATTTTTAATTTAAATATCAATAGTTATCAATATATTATAATATTTAACATTCATAATGTTTTATCTTTACATCCCTCGTTAGTAATCCCAAATTACCAATAAGATAATTTTTATTGTTTGTTGTATTTCTGGCCATTTGTGTTTACGTTTTTATATTATTAATGTACCGTAGGTTCAGTAATACTTAGATTGTTTGTCGTGTGTGTAACTCACTGATCCTTAAAGTAAATTATAAATTTTACGAACACAAATTAAAAAAAATCATTTACAAATTTTTTTTTAATTAATATTTACAATCTGTAGCTTGAGGCTTGAGTACAATAAGCAAACATGATAACATAAATAATTAATTAAATTACATAACTTGATTTTTTTCAACTATCCATTGATAGAACTCTTCAGAAACAAAAATTTTCTGCCCATCTGCCTGCGAACCCTTGATGCTATATGTGTTTGAATGAAAATAAAGAACAGCATTTTGTTGTAAATTATTTAAAATAGTGTTTTCTACTGTAATCAAAACATCTAAAAAAAAAAAAAATATGTATAAATAATGTTAAATATTACTGCAGCTGTTTTTATGAACAATTCTGGATCCACATCTGACCCCTACAGTAGGCCCTCGATCTAAATAATCTACTACAACTCATCTGTGATAGATAAATTAAGTGATCGGCACCACTACTCTTGAAACGAGATACATAGATATGATTAGCGAATCTACTAAACTTTGTGTAGAATCGCCTCCCCCCCCCCGACATAAGTGCCTACTATTAGATACTGTATTTATAACTGATGTATCATTTATACTATGTCAGTGTTACTAATCACTAACTATCTTATCCAACTACTCCAATAGTCTTTCAAATGTACATACTTTTTTCTTTATTTCTTTTTGTATTTAAAATAAAGAAAATTATAACAATTCTCATTTGCATTTATTATTTTAGAGTCCTGTTCCGAGTTATCAGTTATTGAAACAAAATACATCACCTGTACCTCATCACGGTGCATTAACTGTTCCTGACCAAATCGAAGGTGCAGTTATGCCTCAATTAGAAAAGAATAATTGTCTTAAAGTAACAAGCAATCCAGCTTCTATAAGATCCATAAATGCCTCGCCATCTATCAATGAATCACTTTCTGATAGCCAGTTGACTAAAAGTGATGGGGATTCAACTAGTACTCCTCAATTTGTTGATTCTAAACTTCAAACTAGTGTTGAAAATAAAAATGTGAGTATATAACTATTTATGAACTGTTTTTAAAATTGAAATACTAACTACCAACATGACATCATTGCCAATGAGATAATTTTAATAAATAATTTATAACAAGAAAGGGAGTAGCCGAGTAACCATTTGGCTGAATTGGTTCCTATTTGTAAAAGGTATTTTATTAAGTTGAGCCGAATTGGTTCCCATTTAAAAAAAGGTGTTTTATTACGTAGAGCCAAATTGGTTCCTGTTTGTGTTTAGGTAAAATAGTTAAAATTAAAATTTTTAATTTTTAATAATTGATACAAAATATAAACTTGACAGTATAAAATATATATGTACCAGGTACATTGTACCTACATTCTACGTCTTTACATATGGTATGTACAATAAAATGTAAGTAGATTTTTGTATTGGAATTTTAGCAAATTATTACTGATAGGACCAATAAGCACTCGACTATCTCTTTTGTAGATAAAAATTTGTTTGCAACTCACAAAACTAATTAGTGTTGCATCTTGCTTTTCAATTTCAACATAGCCATAAGATTATTGTACTAATTTGTTATCTACTAAACGAACAACTTAATTTATAAATACTGCAGATTAACATTARAATTGTAAGAAATTATTTGAATGTATAGGCTACTACCAGATGAAAATAGTACGCTTTAAAATAAAATTAAATATTAGTTTTACCTATTCGTAAAATACTAACAGTTTAAAGTTTGGTATAAATGTTTTTTTTTGCCTATTAATGTCTAATTTGTCTTAGTTTATAGAATAAATGTCCGAATTTTTTCATAAAAATAAAAATTATAGATGTATATTTTTTATCATTGTCACTAGAAACATAATTTTCTATTAAAAAAAGCGGGTAAGTGGATGTCGCTCTGCTGTAYATTAGRGGGTGRGGTGGACCTCTGACTAGGGTAGGTTAAATTTGAATGCAATGATAGGTATCATTGTATACGAAAAACGATTCTGAACGGAGATGATTCGTCAGTCTAGGATAATATATTATATTTAAATATTGTCATACATTCTATTTTGAAACAAATATTTTATTTTTCAATTAGGATGCATTTTGCATAAGGCATGGTTAATCAATTTTTCCAAAAACATTGCATGTAGTTATCATAATTCATAATACYTTATATTATCATAGATATWCWTATACCTGGTTTGAGGATAAATCGTTATCATTACGCGATTTCATAAAAATTTAAAACTCAAACGCTCAAAACATTTTTCCTATAATGACGCTTCAAATTTTCTCTATAGCTATTTGAAGCAAAACTTATGGAAAACTTAGTGTTGAATTTTATATCCTTAAATATAAATTCAAATGCTAGTAAAAATTTAATTTGAATTTCCGGTAAACATTTGTTTTGTGATAAAGATTGACAAATTTGTAAGGAATCTTGTATTAAATTTTCAAATCTTAGATTTAAAAAGAAAATTTTTCATGAATTTCTAGCTTATATTTTACAATTTGCGAATTTTTGTGATGCTTACGTATTTTGTCAAAATTCAAAATTTTAATGCTTATAAAAAAAAATTGTGACTATCAGTTTCTTTTATTTTTCAACTGCTATTGTAACAATATGTTAAGAGCCTTGCATTAAATTTTTAAGATTTTCTACTCAATAAATACATTTTTATCAATTTTAATTTAAAAAAACTAATAATGATCGAAAATTGCATATACCTATGAATAGTTCATAAAAAATAAAAATCGATTTTGTCGAAAATTKATTGTACGTAAAATTTCTTGTTTTTCCCTTAACTTTTAGTTTGTTTATCATGATTATTTAGAAAAATATTAAGATTTTTTTATTTTTGACCCCCAAAGTACCAACTAGATTCACTTTATGATCGAATAAATTACTGAAGTCAAAAATCGAAGCACTTTTACTGCCCCAAAACATGATGACAGACACAAATAAAAAAAATATTCATGGTTTTGACGAATTTTTGTCAATATTTGAACTTCAAATAATAATTTAATAAAATTGTATCTATGTATTCATATAATTTTTTAATCATTATAAGAATAACTTATGAGGAACTGTGTATTCAATTTTCAAGTTTTTTGATAGGGCCAAAAAATTTTATCGACACTTAAAAAAAAAAATTTTCACACAAATTGAAAATTTCAGTTGTCATTAAATATCTAAAAAAAAGTCAAAATATTTCGAAATTTAAATCATGTAAAGAAAATGCAAATCTAAATAACTGGTGAAAGTTTCAAGTATCTACAACTTATAATTTTTGAATAATAAAAAATATTTAAAATCGTTTGAGGATAAATCATTATCATTACTAGGGCTGGGATTTTAATGCCCTAAAAACCCCCGAAAAATKTCCTAAAAAAAATGCTTTTATGACCTAAAAACTCTAAATAATGCCCTAAAAAAACCCGAAAATGCCCTTAAAAAATTGCTTTTATGAACTAAAATTTTTTTTTATTTTTAATA